GGCGACAGGGGCCGGGCTCTGCAGGCTGGCCCTGGGGCTGAGTCCTGGCTCCACACGTGGTAGTTCTTGCTACTTTGAGTAAGTTATCCTCTCTGAGCCTTTGTTTGCTCATCTGAAAATGGGAAGATTAGTAGTACCTGCCTGGTGGGGGTTAGTTAGGGTTAATTGAAAAATGAGTGTAGCCCTGGCCAGTTTGGCTCAGTGGATAGAGCGTCAGCCTGAGGACTGAAGGGTCCCAGGTTCGATTCTGGTCAAGGGCACATGCCCAGGTTGTGGGCTCAATCCCCAGTGGGGGGTGTGCAGGAGGCAGACGACCATGATTCTCTCTCATCGTGGATGTTTCTATCTCTCACCCCCTCTCCCTTCCTCCCTGAAATCAATAAAAATATTTTTTTACAAAAATGACTGTAAAACATCTAGCTGGGGCCCCTGGGTCAAAGGTGCTGAAGGGGGGTGCACTCTGCCAGGTCCTGTGCTCCTGGAAAGGCGGGGGAGGGCGGGGGGCAGCCAGGAGAAAGGCCATCCAGAAGCACACGGTGCCGGGGGTTCGAAGGAGGTGGGAGCATTTCTGGCAGGTGAGCCCAGAAAGGAAGGCTGGGTGACTGAGGATATTGGAGGTGAGTCAGACACCGGCCCACCTGGCCTGGGAGCCTGAGACTTCACCCACTTCTGACATGCGTGGGCATGTGAGGCCACGGCAGCCACTCGCCCCGCCGCGGGGGTGACGAATCACCCACCAACCTCCTGTTACGGGTTTGAACCCCAGGCCCAGAACCAACTTCTGGGAAGCCTGCCCCAACCTTCCCAGTCTGAGTTAGAGCTTCCCTGACTCCCTTCTTCTCTCCCTCCATCCCACCCAGGCTTCCAACCCACCCAGCCCGGCCCACAGCTGATGCTGAACTCACTGAAAGGAACCCCGGTGGAACGAATGGGTGAGAAGCACAGCTGGGGAGGGCGTGGATGTGAGCACAAAGCAGGATACACAACCTCCTCCCAGCGGCCTGTTTCACCCCCAGCAGCCCCAGGGTCTGAGTCGGGCCTGAGTGGGTTCTGTGGTCCCCCAGGCTCTCACAGTTGCTCCCTACCCCACTTCCTCACTTCAAGGCAGAGGCAGGAGGACAGAAGTGCCTGAGGCCGCTGACAGGAGGAGGAGGGTGTGAGCTAAAATATCTCTCTCTCTCTCTCTCTCTCTCTCTCTCTCAAAATGCCAGTAACAAACACACAAAGTATTCTAATAAACTCGCTAAGGCTGGTCTAGGCAGCTGACCCTGGACACTGAATCACCCGGTTGAACTCACTGTTCAGATTTTTTGAGACCCTGGTGACTGACAGCCCAAACTCCAATAGGACACCTGGGCTAGGGGGCCTCGGGTCTGGATGGAGACAGACCGAACTGCAGAGGTGTGTTGGTTTTCAGCATCTCCCCCTCCTCTACATCCCTGCCACAACTCATCCCATCTCCTGGAGCGAAGGGGCCCCGGGCAGGTGTGACTTCCACCACCACCACCACCCCCTCCGGCTCCACTTCCCCGCTATCACCACTTCCCCCCTGTCACCACTTCCCCTCATCTGCCATTATCAAGGGAAGCGCTTGATAAGCTCACCAGGTCAGGACACCTGGACACAATCGTGAGCGGCTTCCCTTCCCCTCCCAGCGCCATTTGCATCTTCAGAACAACGCCCAAACCTTAGCCTTGAATAAGGTCAGGCCGACTGGGTTGGGTTCCTCGCAGAGCTACCAGCAGGATGACCTTACCCAAGGAAATCGGTTTCTCGGAAAAGTCCATTTTCTCTATCTGTTACAGAGAAAAATCACACCCACTTCCCATGCCTGTCGTGGTGGTTGACAGGACAGATATCCTAGCACAGCGGCCGGCAGGGGAGAGCACTGGAGTTTGTCTCAGTTTCCTCTCTCATTCCCTCCTCTTCATCCCAGAGGAATTACTTTCTAATATTTTCTGATGATGAAATTTTGGAATCACTGGCTGGCCAGTGCCACTTGGCTCCTTTG